CTCCATTAACTTTTCTCCTTTCGGTCTTTCTTTCCCATTCTTTCTCGTCAAATGTTATTTGGGGCTGCTAAAAAAAAAAAAAAAGCACTAACAGGATCACTGTTTTTATTTATTTAGAATTTTTCCCACAAGCCTTTTAATAAAATCCCATTTGAGAAACGGAAGTAAAGATACCAGAAAGTTAAGAGTGACAGGGGCTCAAGTTAGTTTAAAAATAAGGAATTGGACTCAGAAAGCTTAAGTGACTTACAACATTGAGAAAGTGATGAGGATATTCTTTTCTGAGAGCTCAGTGTTTTAAGCCTCCCAGCTTCAGCACAAAAGGCATTTCGGCACATATGTGATCCAGAAGGTCAATCATATGAAATCCTATTTCCATTTTTTAAGCAATCCTTGGCAGTCTGCACATTTCTGAAATTGCAACTGGCATATTTCACAGAGAATTATCATCAATGCCTTTTCAAGGTCAAACATGCCCCGTCTTTAGATTTTCAGCATTTATATCCCATATATTAAATCATAGCATATATTTAAGAAGGCATTCAGCAGACATGTTAAAGACTTTTAATTGATTAAGCTATGTGAATTAATGTCATATAGAATTTTGTTTACAACTGGACATAAATTACATGTTAAAAATATTAAAATATGTGTTAAATTTAGATGTGAGTATTCGGCTTTTGCTGCCAACCCTGAAACCCCAAAATGCTTGCATGACCAGACTCTTGCTAGGAGGTTTTAAAAAATATTAAAAGCATATTTTCTATTAAGAAAATTGAAGTAATTCCAAAAATGTACTACAAGAAAAAGTAAAAGATCATTGTGCTTTTGATTGTCAGAATCCCAAAATACTGGTCACCATATGAACAAAATAAGGTTGATTTGGATATTACAATGGACACTGAGAGGGGATAACTTTTGAGAACCACAGTTAGCCCTAGCACAGAGTCATGTGAGATATTTGGGCCCCTCCTCCTGTCTGATCATTGAATTTTTGGCTCTGCTGATATTTCTCTCTCAAACCCCAACCCCCAACAATATCCAGAGATCCATATATCCTCATGTTGTACATGCGCCACGCTTCTGGGAAAGAAAGACATTTAGAAGTCTTAACAATTTAGGAGGTTTTGCTAGGATTTTGTCCTTCCCAAAGATATTTACACTTTAAATTAGGATTCCAGAAAAACATGTGGAGGCGTGGGCCTTAGAGTTACCGATAGAGGGACACATACCACATCTTCAAATCCTATCACATGAACAGCTACAGAAGCAGTAACACAGCAGTGTTTGGAATAAGATGAACCAGGTTCAGGACCTTGCCTGATGGTTAGTCATTCATTCAGTCTCATTCAGCCATCCTTACCTTGGGCCATCTTTTCTCCTATGATGGCTGAACAGTCTATGTTTTTTTCTAAGATGCCTTACATCCTAAACCTTCCTGCCTACTCAAGTCCATAATCACAGTAATTTTTCCTTTTTGTTCCTAAGCCATTAGCATTTCCGTTCTATTGTAATCATTCATATCAGCAGTTTAAATAAGCTAGTTTTCTCTCTTCTTAAAGGAAATATATAGAAAAACAAAGTACCAAAGACCCCACTTTCCACTGCAACCACTCTCCATATTTTTGAATTTCTTTAGGCTTTAAAGCCCTCAAAATAGTTCTCTATATTTTGCTTCACTTCCTTTCTTCCCACTCTCTCATGAATATTATCTCATTGGATTTTGTCCCTAGACCTTCACCAAAACTGTTCTTATCAATAACACCAATGTGGGAAGAGGCATCAATTCTCAGGTTTGAACTTAACTGATCCATTCATAAAAATCTATCTTCTTTAATCACCTTTCTGACTTCATTGAGTTATCACCTTCCTTCATGGTTTTCCCCCTCTCTCATGGCTGTTCTTCCTGGATTCTTCTACAGTTCCTATCATGTAAGCACTCAGGTGCCCCAGGGAAGCGTCAGGGGTGCTTCTTCCAACCCTCCCTAATTTTAGATTCTAAGTGTACTCAACTAGACTCATGCCTTGAAATCTATAGACTATGATGACCCTCATATTTATATCTCTAGCTTCGATCTTACCATAAATCCTGGATCCAGATTCTCCACTTGAACATCCAAAAAGGCTCACAAAACTGAGATACCAAAGCTGAGCTTTTATTCCTTCAACAGTTAGCTCAAACTTCTCATCTTGTCTTTGCCATTTCATTAAACGAAAGCATCATTCTTCTCATGTTTCAGGCAAAAGACAAAGCAAAACGCATATGCACACATGCACATAAAACAACAGCAAAACAAAGTTGAAAGCTATCTTTTTGTTTGTTTTTATTTTTCTCTTACTCAACTCCTCTATCTCATCAATTAGAAAATTTTGACGGTGCCGATAATTTGATCATTTTATGCCACCTTTTCTATTATCACCCAAGTCAAAGTCACCATCATCTCTCACCTGAATTACCACAAAGGCTGTCTCTCTGGACTTCCTACATTTAGCCATACCCCAACCATCTATTCAACCCAGAAGCAAGAGTAACCCCAATAAAAATGTTCAGTTAAAACAGGTCACACCTCTGCTCAAAAATCTTCAGCGAATTTTGTTTTCTCCTTCAGAATAAAACACAAAAGCTTATTAAGCTCTCCATTATCTGGTGGCCTTCTACCAGTCTAGACTTACATCTCCCCACTCCTTGCCTTGGTCACTGTGTGACACCCTGTCCTCTGCTTGGAACACATCAAACTTGCTATTCCCTCTGCCTAGAATTCTCTTCCCGCCAATAGCCACACACCTCACATTTTGGGCAGCACTTTTACAATGTCTGAAACATCATTTAAGGAGCCTTCCCTGGGCTCTGTTTTTATCTCCTTTACCAAGTTTGTTTTACCACCTGTTATATTTATTTATATGTAATTATGTTTAGTGTTGTCGCTTCTCTTAGAATGTAGCTTCCTTATATCAGGAACTTTGTTCTATTCATTGCTGTCACCTCAAGGTCTTGAACACTGCCTGGCACTTAGCAAAATTTTAAGATGTATTTCTCCAATCAATTAATACACTTAACAGCAAATGTTTATTGAAAAATAGACCCGCTTTAGATTTTGCTGGAAGAACTGTATAGAAAAAGAGGATCATTCTGCTCATGAAACATACACTGTAGTTTGGAAATCAGCAGTCATGGTGCCTATTACATTCATTGTTTGCCTCTGGCCTTGAATCATCTTGACCTCAGATGTGAGGAGTCCTATCTATCTGACCTGGATCAGTGTCATTTCTTATGACCAGGATTAAATCTCTTTGTCTAATCCTTATTTCAGGGAGGAGTCAGAATTCAATTTGAAGATCAGTCCACTGTCTTAATATCTTTAGATAGAACCCTTCCAAAGGTTGTTGATGAAAGACAGAAGTTAATAGCACAGTGATAAGCACACTTAAGTACTTTGAAAAATCTAATGAAACTTCTGCAGATAATTCTATTTTTAAGGTTAAAGGAAAGAATGAATGATTGAGTTTTAATGCCAAAATCAGGAAAACTTTCATTTTAGAGACGAAGCTGTTTTAGAAAACAATGTGGGTTATCCTTTTTGTTATGAATTTTAGAAAACCAGTCTCATAAAAGCAAAATGCTTGCATACACACAGAAGTCCATCTGAATTACTCCCCAAAGGGAAAAATTGTCCTGAAGAAAGGGTGTTTAGTATATTCTAGAAGGGAATCATTGATACCAACTAAAATTGGGTAGAAATTAAAAAATAACATAGTCCCCAACAACATATTGGCTTAAATGTATGCAGTCACAACAATGTTTATCAAATATGTAATTTTGCAAACATTTTTATACCTGGTGATGCATAGATTTCCATTTTAATAGTCCAAAATAAAAAGATAGCACTCTTTCAAAATAATTCTCTATAACAATTCCTTTTTTGGTTTCCAATTCCCTCTCTCTCTCAAACCTCTCATATGAAGTTATTTGCCATTAAATGATTAAAGTAGTGCATCCTTATCTAGTTTCATTATAAGAATAAATAGTTCATTAAAATAATAATTTATTTTCCCTAATATCATATTGTTTGTTCACAGGAGTAAGCAAAGTATTAATGTCCGACTAGATGAAAAATCCACCAAATATCCAAATAGCTTAACTAATATTATTTAGTATCCAGCTAATTGATATGGATTAATTTTCCAAATTTTGAATCATTGCACTTAGTAAATAGACATTATTGAAGAAATAAGACTTTGTATAACACAATATGCCTCTACCAGTACCCCTATTGTGCGTGTACACACACACACACACACACAAACACATATGCTGGAAACACTATGACATTCTTTGGAAAATCAAGATGTATATCCTTCTTTGGGTTTCAGTGCCCCAGGAAATTTAGCCTCAATTTGGAAGCTGTAATCTGGCATTTATTTGCTTGTAGCTGTAGGTTTTGCAGTATAAAAGTCATTTCATTTCAACAAACCTGGGGCACTTGGTACCAGACAAGATATGTAATAGTCATAAAACTGCATAGAGAGCACATTGAGGGTTCCCCCTGCCTTCAGAGACTCATATGATTCTAATTATCGATGAGTCTTTTTATAATCTAAGAAGATGCACTATTATAAAGTAAGAACTATAAACAAAGACCATTAACTAAGGTGGAGTCTTTCATCAAACATCGACTCTGAAAATGTTTATGTGTTCCCTTGGGCTTTTATCAAGAGGTTGTTTTGTATGAGCTTTTATTAAAGAAAACTGAATTATTTCCCAGTCCCAGATGTACTTCCATATGCACAACACACCAGTAAATAACTTTTGTTAACTAAGGCAAGAGTCCTGTGAGTCGGATGAATTGTGTTTCTGTTATAGTTGAGTTGCCAATTTCACGGTCTCACCCAGCCTAATTGTGGTAAACACACTTCCTGACCAGGTGATAACATCATAGGCTTTGCAGAACTGACCAATTTCCTTGTGTATGCAAGATTCAGAATACTTTGTTTATATTTACCGTTTTATTGCTTCTTCCTGTCTTCGGCGTTTTTCATTCTTCTCCTTCAAGTAGGCCAGGTTGGTTTCATTTCTCAAGCGGTCATTCTCTCGAGCAATGTCTGATGCATTTTGAATAACCAAGCCATCATAGGCCTTCATCCCCATATCCTCAATATATTGGAGAAATGTGTCCAAAGGGTCTTCCTCAGGATTAGAACTCATCATCTTGGAGGATATCATGTAAAAAGGAACACTTCCTGTAAGATGAGAACACATTTTATTTACCTTTATCAAAGGTGAAGGTAAAAAGCAAGGCACTGTATATTCACCCTAATATCTTGTCAGTCCAAAGCTCCAATGATTATGGTAGAATCCATTTAGAGAAAACGTCTCATTAGAAACTATAAACCATCAAGTGTATTTGAAGTAAATAGTAAATGAATGTTGGTGGAGTAGTAAATACTCCCCTCAAACCAATAAAATTAGCACATCAAAGGCCAAATCTCTCACACTGAAAGGTAATATGAGCATACAAATACAGTGTGCTAACATCAATGCTTGGTTTATGTATGTAGCGTCATGATTTTGTTTCTCAGAAATGTGTTCTTATATCAATAAGATATATCAGATCCAAGCTTCATTTATTTCTAATTGCTATAAAGACTTCCCTCCTCAGTTTCAAATAGAACAATATAATTATTCGGAATGAACTTTCTTATTGTGTGTGTTTTCCTTATAATTTTAAATTAAGATCTATAAACCTAAATCCATTTGTGCAAAACATAAGCAGTAATCAAGGAAATACACATTTCTAATATAATATGTTTTGGAAATAATCCCTTTGTGATCCAACATTATTTCCCAAAATGGTCCTCCATCATGGCTTCCTACTTAATGATTCAAATATCGTAGGTCACTGAGATCACATTAATCCTCACCAGTCTGGTAATTTAAGCAGTAACAACTACAATTATCACTGCTGCATGAAGGTTTAAAAACCCAAACCATAGGACAGATTACTGAAAAACCAAAATCAAATCAAAACACAACAAAACATAAGAATTCCAACCAACACATATGATGCTCACCTACAAAATGATGGAAATAGTAACTTCTACCTACTGCTGATGTAACAATTTAGAGAGGTGATGCCATAAAAAATTTAGCATAGAGTTTAATAATAATAAGCGTATAATAATGTTAGTTAACATTATCATAATAAAAGTACAGGTAGAAGATTGGCAGCAGTGGTAATGTCAAATGTGTGTATGTGCATAGATAGATGGGTGATGGAAAACCATCAGGCAATGAAAATCAGGGTGCCCTGAAGTAGAAGAATCCAATGAATCATAGAAATCAATGAAGCCAGGGGATAAAGAAATGGTGTTTTAATCAATCAAAAATAGAACTGAAGTTCAATTAATTAATTGCATACAAGATAAGTACTTTACCCTTTTAGCTTGATAAGGCTTACTGTCCTCAACTGCATCTTCACTGTTGTATAGAAAACTAGTGTAATTGTGTCAGATTGTAAAATCAAAAGCAAAATCATTAACAAGAAAAAATGTTGGCCATTTAAAATTATAAATTACATTTATATCTTTTATTTTCTTTAAAAGGCTCAGAAAGGCATTTTAAAAATATCAGCCCAACTATCTAAAGTAGATGTCCTACACTTTCATTTTTGCCATTACGATTCATTTTCATTTTGATTTTTTCACAAGTATAATCATGTTCCATACCTGGATGGTAGCTATAGAAATTTTACTTCTTATCAGCGTTTATTAGCATTTCAGCTGTCAGTCAATTCATGTTATTTGAGTCCCACTCTGAATTTAAAGATTTATTATCCAATCTGTAAGAAATTGTTGAAACTAGAGGATAGAAGTTGTTTGTTGACTCATGATTTCTTTTTTGTTATGTTAGGTTTTATTACGTTTGGTTTGGTTTTAAGCCATAATGGGTTGACAAATGAAATGATCTTATAATTCCAACTATCTAGCATAATTGAATTGTATTATAATATCAGTCCATGAATGTAGATGCTCAAGTGGTGGACATATATAGAAATAAGAAATTATTGCGACAAACAACTACAATTTTCTGGAAAAAAAAAATAAAGGAGCATGACTCTCAGAAGGCTGAAGCATTACCATTATTGAGAATTCATTTTACCAAAGACTTCAGCACTAGGTGTACCTGGATTAAAAAAAAAAAAAGATCTGTATAACTTTATGGCAATTAATTCTACCATAGTTAAGTGAGCCAAGTCAGTCTTACAAGGATTCCAGAGATAATGCCTCAGGGTGGAAGAGGAACATTCCCACTTTGCCCTTGAGCAAAACTGAATATATCTCATTATGACAGGTATTACCCCCAAATTTGTGTTTCTTCCCTTAAATTTTCCTCCCATACAAATGACACCAGACATTCTTTATACAGCTTATATATTCCAAATATTAACAAGGTTAATTGGGTACTTCTAAAAATTAATTATTTCTCTAAGTGGTCTTTCCAATTGGCTGGAGTTTAAATTGGGTTTATTCCAAGAGAGTTTTAAACAATAATATCATAAAATATTTATACTACGGAAAGTTGTACTATAAGATTTTTTTTTAAGTTGAGGTAAAAATTTAAGGAACAAAAATCAACCATAAAACCTAGTAAAACTTAAAGTTGAGGTAAAAATTTAAGGAACAAAAATCAACCATAAAACCTAGTAAAACTTACAGATGATGAAATCCGATGAATATGATGATCATGTTTGTCATCTAGTTCTAGGGAAGGATTTGATTCTACAATTGTTCACTTATTCAAGTATTTCTTTTTATTTTATTTATTTGAGAGAGAGAGAAAGAGCACAAACAGGGGGAGTGGCAGGCAGAGGGAGATGAAGACTCTCCACTGGGCTCCTTGCTCAGTGTGTGGTGCTGGATCCCAGGATTCTGGGATCATGCCATGAGCCAAAGGCAGACGCTTAACTGACTGAGCCATCCAGGCGCCCCTATTCAAATATTTCTTGAGCAGCTATTATAAACCAGGCATTGATATGGCAAAACTGTGTCCTTCTAGACAATCACATTGCAGTGCGTAAGCATGATAAATAAAAAATCACAATGCAGTGTGATAAGGGCACTGATTCAGATGGCAGTCGCAGCTTTCATTGGTTCATCTTGATTTATGGTCACCATTTTTGAGGATGAACAAAGAACATTTTTTAACAATTATATCTAGCCTTCAAAAATAAACATAAACAATGGGCTTGAACCCTACCCCTGTTTAAGCATCACACTTTTCTTCTCTCTCGTCCAAAAGGTAGTTTGTAATGTGGGGGCAGGGCAGAAGACAGTTATGTAGTCCTGAAGAACATAACATAACTGAGCAGTATGTCCTGAAAATCCCAGTGAAAGGAACCCTAGGTCTCTGACTTTGTGTAATTTAATGAAATCCTCTAAGCTTTAGTTTCCATGTTTCTGCAATGGTGGTTGGAATGATACTTACACTGTTGGAATTTCAGTCAGAAAATTCATATTCAAGAAATGTAAGCATAATCATTAGTACCTAACATTGCTATTAGATAATTTTCACAATTCTTAACCATGACCAAAATGATATTTAGTTATCACTCCTTGATTCCTTGATAAACACTTTTTTTTTTTTTTTTTACTTTGGAACATAAGTGAATAGAATGTTTAGTGCAGTTCAATGTTCTTAGTCACAGATGTGCAAATGGAGTCATAAAAGGCATTCATAGACTTGCCCCCTACCCAAATGCATGCAGACAGATGGCTTATCCATTCTGTCCCATTTTCTACACCTAGGATATAAGGGAATTGGCACAGAAGAAACATGAAGCTCAAGCACTCAGTCTCCACCCTTCCAAGCCAAAGGATGTTTCTCAGTCAACTCAACTCTGAATGAACGGATTCATTACTTCACTCCTCACTAAAGGAAGGTTATGCCTCACTAAAGAAAAGTGAACTTGATGTGAAGTGTCTGTCTTATTACACCTGCTACAATTTCTGTGTAGTGAGAACCCACAGTCAGGTATGATCATAAATCTGTTTGTCTTTCAGAAATTTATAGTTATGGCTAAGATAGATATTGAATAAGGTATTCTCTATACCACTAAAAACTTGGCTTCATTTTGACTGCTGGATATTAAATCAAGTTCATTTCTGGCCCCTGAACGACAATCCTCTATGCAAGTATTTTGTAAAGGCTTGTCTTGAGCACCTAATTCCTAATGTTGGCATCTTAGGGAGACCACAGTTAAAAAGCAAAAGAACCCTTCTCCTTAGGTAGCATATTTAGCCCTACTGTAATAAGTAAGAGATTCTTATTAGACCTCAAATGACTGCGTGGTACATTTGTGACAACAAAGTGAGTGAGGTTGAAGGGAGATTCTGGTTTTGCATTTTTCCAGTTATCCTCTTCATTTGAATTAGTATGTGTCTACAGCCATTTTTGCTCCTAACGATCTAGACATTTTAGCCCCCCCTAGAGCATTAGTTGAAAACTGACATATTTGGTCTTCAACTACAAGGTAGATAGGTTTTAATAAGAATGTATGTGATGGACTCAAATAGTGTAAGATTTGTATGTGTCTTCTTTTTCTTGGAAGTTGTGGCTAATGTTGAAAATCTGTGTTAGGACTGTCCTGGGAAAGCACTTAAAATGACCTGAAATCAGAATCCCCATACAAATCAGACAGCTTCACATCTTCACTTTATGTCTTTCTTCTACTGCTGTATTGTACATTCATAAAACCCTCTTTTTGTTTGATTTTTGGATTACTGTATTTAAAATCATTGTCATTCTAATAAAAGCTACAGATGTTGGCTTAAACACAACTGGGTAGTTAATTGTTCATCTTTATTTTATTCTTTCACTCTTGTAACTTATTCCCTGTAGACCACACCCTTCACAAAGACTATTTTATATAATATTGTGATGCTTCCTAAAATTTCACTCTATTCAGCTAAGATGCACCAATCTAAACTGGTGAGATTGTGGTCCATATTTAAAATACAAGCATTTCACTTTGTATTGAATTAACCATGTCTTTATTTTCTTTTGTGTAAAACCATCACTGTACCTTATCCATGCTAAGCCTAGAGCTGAAAATAGCATTACACTTCTTTACAATGTTTCCACTGAAATAAAACTATTTATTACATATACAAAGGTATCCAAATGGAATCCATAGAAACATAAAAACCCACTTCTTTTTTTTCTCTTTCTGTCACCACTACTTGCATCCAAGGAACCCAAGAAGCTGAGACACTACGTGACTTTCAACGTTAGAGTAAAAAATAAATAAATAAATAAATAAATAAATAAATAGAGTACATTTTTGAGAATTAAGTGTTTGCAAAAACTTTAAGAACATGTATTTATGTAGATTTACCTTGTAAATTAAGGAATCAATTTTTTGTAGCCTCAATTTACCAGAAGATATTTAATGTGGCACTATACTAACTGGTATCAAGATTGGGTTCCCCATGGTATAGAAGGTATTTAATTAATTACAGGCTGTTGTTGAAGAAAAGACATACAGAAAGGGTCAGATAAAAATAAAGCATGCCATCTTATTATACATGCTAAAGTATTTCTCTTTTCTTAAAATCCAGAACAAATTCCTCCTTTAGTGTAACTTCATGTGCTGAGACATCGGTCACTCTGGTTCTACAAGGACTGGCTCAAGTGGTTGGGTTCACTTACTTACCAGCCAGAGCTTTCTGATGGATCATTGGCCACCATTTACCAAAAGTGGGGTTCTACTCTGTTAGTATCATCTGAATGAATTAGCCCACTGGCCCTTGTGGGGGCCTGTTCTTCCTCTTCTTAAACTGTTTATTCAGAATTCCTGAAATAGAACTCTTCTCCATCTAAAACTTTGGTTTTCTAAGATTTTAAAGTTGTAAAAACTCCATCAATCCAGATATTTGCCATATCTACTGAGTGATAGAGGAAGAAAAAGCAGCTGTTTGGGATAGAACTGCTCCCCAGTTCTTGAAGTTAAGAAGCTTAAATTATAGGTCACAGTTAACCCTATAAGATAATATTATAGCTAGAATAATGTAATGTTTATCTTTTGTTATTATTATAATTGTGTTTTGTTTTTTGTTTTTTACTGTAAAACAAAATACATACAAGGGAATAAATTTCCTGGTAGATAGATTAGGCATTTTACCTTCATTTCACATTATGTATTTCATTTCATTTGCATAAGGGAAAGTGTTCTGGGCTCCCTTCTTTAGTTATTTCTGAGGTTTTCACACCACACCTGTCTCAATGCTATGAGGAAGTTATTAGAATTGGAACTATTAAAATTTGATTTTCCCTCCTACTCCAGTCATTGCATCCCCAAGATAGAGAATTCTATTTTGTCCAGCAGGATCAACTTATTCAGGTAAGTTTCCCAAGGAAATTTGAACTATTTTGCTGTTGTTGTTCAAGAGGAGGAAAAAGATCGCTTCCATTTTCTGCATGTACTCAGACCAATTTGAAAACACATTGTGACAAAATATAAGTATTTAAATAATCAGACTTCATATGCATATGTAAAATATGTATGCAAATTAATTTCTAAAATTTGCTGACTTCACATAGGATCAAATCAACACAAGATTGCCTGGTTATAATTTGTAACCTGTGCAAACCACGTCAAAATTGTTTTTTCTGATAATGTGTCAAAAATAAATAATCATTTCACTTTGATTATGCTTAAAATCCTACGCTCAACCCCACAAATGGTCACACTCATTTTCTTATTCTCACTTTCATCAAAATGCAGCTGTTCTGCCCAAAATGGGAAATGTTAGAGTTAACACCACGAGAGCTTGTTCAAGTGACTACAAAGACACTGATTGCTTTTTTCTCAGAAAGCAGATTACTTTGTTGAGTTTTTCTCCACTCTTTCCCTTCCCAAAATGAGTAAAATGGGCATAGATTATGTTAATGGAGTAGCATCATAAATCTGACACTGGCCCCCAATTCCCAGGTTGTCATGGTGCTATTTGTCTATGGTCTAAAGAGATAGCACATTTCCAGTAATATTAGGGACTCACACAAAATGTCAATGGCTGAGGTACTTTTCTGAGCCTTTGGCCAAATGTTTCCAGACGCTTACAAGGCAGTATTTGCAAAGATATAGTCAGTATGATAAATTGCTGACTGGAGCTGCAATGGAAACCATTTAATTGAATTGAGAGGGTATGACTTTTTTTTTTTTTTTTGTAACAATAGGCAGCCTTCTTTTCTTTAGGATTTTTGCACTTCTCTTTCTAAACTTTGCAAATGCCTCAAGTCCTTGGGCTTCTCAATAGTTCCTTGTGAAGTTATGGTATTTTCTTTCAGGTCAGTTTTCACTGATTTCCTAAACTGTCAATGTCCTTCAGAGTCCCCTTCTTTGCTGAGTTGGCAAACATATGTTGTAATTTCCACAGAGAAATAAAATAATTTTGGTATTTCTGGCTCACATATTCTCATATTAATCTGTTTACCAATTGACAATATAGAAAAGAACTTGGAACATTATTTAACATGTGAAGAATTAAGACAGGAGTTAATTTTCACTCTTGCTCTAAAGTAATTCTTTCATACTACTCGGTTATAAATTCTTGCATGTTAAAATGACTAAAACTACATTGTGTAACTTCGTACACTGGATTCCCTTTTGTGGGGCTATGTTCCATGTTTAAAAAAAAAAAAGATATAGTCTTATGGTACCAAAACAACTTTAGGATTTACTAATAAGAAGGAAAACATTATTTCATGTAATAGTTCCTCCAGCTAGGGAAGACAAATTTCTTGTATTTAAAATATTTCTGGTTCTTGGAAAAATTAAAATGGAGACACCCAACAAAATAAGTGTTTGTCCCAAGTGAAACAAGTCTTCTTAAAGTTCTATAGAAAATATTTGTTGTGATGAGACTAAGGAAACCTTCCTGATACAGAGTGATATTAAAATACATGTTTCTCAAAGAGGTTTATGTCTACTCAGGAAGAAGCAGTTTCAGCTTTGGTGTATGTCTGATAGTTGGTTTTTTTTTTTTTTTTTTGAAAATGCAAAATTAGACTGACACAAATGTGCTGAGAGACTGTTGTAAAATATTTATGGTATGGAATAGCAGATAAATAGCTAGCATGCACAACATGAATGCCAATTAACACCCGGGAAAATATTTTCAATGCATTTAATAATTTAACATGGCTTATTTTACCAATGAAAATTTAGTTTAACCATTTCTGTGATAAAGTAACTAAGTGGGTAAGAGGGTACAAAATAGCCTGAGGCTTATTAAAGCCTTGGATGCCTTTGCTGTGGCTTTATTTTTGTTCCAGCTAATAAGACATGCAAACTTCAGCATTAAGCATCCCCAGATAAAATTCATTCCATTTCATAGCTAGATTGCTTGATCTATTTAGTGCTGGATTCAATTAGCATGCTTAGAGAATCTGAAAAATGAGATACGTACCAAAATTTAAGTCTCCAGGGAGAGCTAAGTGCAATAATCAGAAGGTGACTCGTGTCTGTCAGAGCCCTCTCTCTCGGTTGATCTCAGGGCAGTTCTGTAGGAGTAATCCAGCACCATAAGAAATAGACTTGTAGTTCAGCTCAGTTTTTCTTCAATTAAAGTGCATTGTATGTGGATGGGAAAAGTGTCCATTCCCAGATTCTTCATCACTAGAGATCAGAGCATTCTTGATGTTCTTTCTATCAGATAAAATGGCCTTTAAAGTTTGCTAGGAAGATACGGTGGCAGAAGACAGGTGCTTGCTTCCTTAAATCGACATTCAGAGAAAAGAGGGCATAGCTAATGGGGGGGATGAATACACAGCCCTCTCCTTCCAGGTCCAGCAGGAAAGAAATTGAATGATTTTACCCACTTTGCTACACAGATGATTACAAGACTCGAAGCAATCACCCAGGCTGGCTAAGGTGCCTCATTTGATTATATTCTGTGAAGACAAAAATAAATGAAAACAAAAAATCAGAAGCATCCTCTCTAAATGTCTCCTTTCAGCCAAAAAGATGCTCTTTCTCATTGCCACTTACATACAGAAGGTTTGGAGCAGCCTAGCTTGTGGCACCGTCCCTCCCCCGTGACAACCAGCTCTCTCTCCCATTCTCTCTCTTTCCCCTCCCTCCCTCCCTCCCTCCCTGCCCCTGACTCCCTCCCTTCCTGCTTCTCTCTCTCCTCTCCAGCTGCCTTAGTCTGTTGATGCTGCTGCTGATTAATCAGGGATTCTGAAACAAAGAACCTACCTTCTGAAATAAGCAGTAATCTTTCTTCTCTGTTTCTGCAATCCGTCTGCATTGAACGGCAAAGCTGCCAGCATTCTAGCACCTTGGATAGTTCCTGCTCACTAGGCCCATTGGAAACGGGAGGAGGAGAAGGAACTGAGGAAATGACAAGAAACCCGAAAGCAGCATCGTTCTACTTCGGATTTCGTCTCCCTGGGGCCTCCCATCCTCATTAAAGTCCTCACATCTAAGGCAACAGAACCTCTCTCTTTTATCTGTCTGAACTGAAGCCTGATTAGTAAATAATAAAACAAAAAGAGGATAAAGAAACCCCTTCATTGATATCCACTACAACACTCATTCAATCTTTATGGAGAAGAAAAATAGAAATCCATCCAAAATAAATGTTCCTACTACAGAGGGTGTTTCAGTGATAACCTTTTCACCCCTGGCATGGCTAATGAAAATGAGCAACAACTTAAATGGAACATCGGGATCTCAGTTTGATACCCTTATTTGATATCAATTTTGCCTCCACCCTCCCTGCATAGCCGAGCCAGGCACACAATTACTGCTGACGTACTTCGGGCTGCTGCTTGGGGAAAGAGGGGAGGAGCCTTTTAACCTCATCAAAACAGCTTCATGCCACCTGCTCCCATGGCATGAGAACAAAACTAAACCACTTAGAAAGAACATGCACAGCACACACGTATGTTGAATAAAGATTGCAGGCGGAGAACAAGCTATTTTTTTTAATAAAAATAAGATGTGGATTAACTCTGGTGTGTGTCTCACTGACTCCTATGGACACACTGTTGAAATTATTTAAAGTCATCCTATTTCCTACATTTCCTGAGGACTCTCCTCATTCCATTCTTAAAAGCCTGCTGAATATATGCGTATATGCCATGTTATATAATATAACTTATATGAATATATGTATATATGTATGCAAAAATATGTGTTTCTATACATACACACACAAGCTCTAAGTTTTTATCTGACCTATTTTTCCTCAGAGTAAGAAGTATAGTGAAGTATAATATGGATGTTTTATTGTGTAAGTTGGTATTATGGCAATTGTAACAATAGAAATGAGTTTCTGCTTAAATGGGACTAAAATAAGGGAGGAAATAAGCTTTGGGGGGGAATGAGTTTATTATTCTATCCAATAGTGACCAGTAGATTTTTTTCACTACATTTTTTTCTGGTAACTATTTTTGTTAATAACTTTCACTTACAAACTGATTTTTCCCAAGGATTGTCCCAAAAATCTAAATTCATAACTAATTTCTTAGAATAATATGATATCTGAATGTAATTTTTCATGTACCAACAGACCCTAAAAAATAATAAACTTAAGTTTATCTTCCTGATTCTTAATGTTATCTGAAACTGTACTACAGTCTTGCAATTTTTTTTTAATTTGGAATATCTGGGGAAAAATAAAATTAACATTGTACATTGCTATAAGAGTTTCAGTTTTCACATATCTGAATGTGCATTCCTAAAACAAATCACATATATCACTTATTTCTACTTTTTGGATAGAACAGAACATCTGTTTCATACACTGTGGAAGATTAGATAGAGGAAAGAAGGAAGGGGAGTTTAATTAGGAAAGAGAAGAGGCCACATCTTTCTCTTTCCTTCTCTTTACAATTCTGCCCCCACTTTCTCAAAGAGTGTGGGGGGAAAAGGTGCTTCAAGTACCACTTAGAAACTATTAACAATCACCACACTGTCATCAAGAGGTTATTTTTGGTGGTCAAGTGTTCTCATAGGATTTATCTTTCAGTATGTGACCAAAACCAGAAAAAACTCCTCATAAAGATATTCTGTGACAGATACTTTAGGAAGTGGAAATAATTTAATCATGACTGATAACTCTATCAAGTTTGGGGGAACTACATGTTTTAACTATAGAAAACTCGAATAAACACTACTATAAAGTCCATTTCTACATAGGAGAAAATTAATATCCAGAGAAGCATACTGACTTGCTTCAGGACTCACTCATTGGCTCATTGGGATAAGGATGAGAGGTCACTGGGCTGCTGTGTTCTCATCACCCTTGAAAACACAGTGGTTCTCAGTCACCTTCATATGCACTAGGATAATTTCAAACAAAGTGAGGTTGTTTACAATTGAAACAAAACAAAACAAAACAAAAACAAAACACACACAAAGACAAAAACACCATTATTGCCACCCCCCACAAAAAATCTCAAGAGTAAAGGGGAGAAGAGGGAAAGCATAACATGTAGTTCTTTACATTTAATATTTTCAGCTTCAGGAAAATTTATGACTATTATGTTTCTTTCTGTTTTCATTCTTTACTTTTTTCTCTTCTTTTCACAGAATAGAGTTTGGGAGCCATCACATTGTATCAACTTATCTTTTCAACCCCATGCCCTTCTCATTCCAGGTCACAGTATACATTGATCAGACAATGTCTTCTCTGCAGATATATTAGTGTCTAGAAGCTTATGGCACATTTGGGGATTAGTGTCTAGAAGGTCCCCAGAACTAGTTCTTTAGGTCTCACTGAATGAAACAGAAAAAATCCCGTACTTTCAAATAAACTTAGAACCAAATGTAGAATTCATCTCTAATAATTTCATTAGTATTCAGAGAAAAAGTTCACAGTACAAAATTAAAGTTGAAATTTTTTTATATTAAGAATAAAAGTATATAGATACCAGCAAAGCTCAGATTATAACTATGTGTTTGGTTTATTTCTTGAACATCTTTATAAAATACACAGGTGTTTCTGATGTCATAGAAACCAGTCATTGAAATGCCTCATGACTTATCTCTTTCAAAGTTCTGAAGTCAAGATAAAGTTGGGCTTTCTGTTGTGCTATACTAACAGAGTTGATGTTCTTGGGGTTAAGCAGGTCCCTTCCATGAACTCAGATAGATAAGGGGCGCTGAAGCCTTGAAAGTTCTTCTTAGTCTATAAATCAGCCAGATGGCGAGGAGTGCTTTCTGTATAAAAGTGATGCAAAGGAGAAAATGAGAATTGAAACAAAGTAATCTAGTTACCTAAACTTAAGGGGTTTATTCAAATATATCAAGATGTACTCTCTGAAGTCACGTCATAATTTATAATAAAGCCTTTCTAGTTTTTTTTTTCATGATCTGTAATCTTTCTATTATTCTTTCCACTTTTAGCTTAGGGAGATGACACTTCTGTTATAATGAAATTATTCCACTAGGGAAAAAGCTAATCTTCCCATCCAATCAGGATTTCTAAGCATTCTGGTAACAGCATGAAATCAAAGTCTTGGTAGAATGGGAACCATATGTTCCTTATGATTTTTGCCTATAGAACAATGTAGATGTTGACAGAGTTGTGCATGACTTAGGGACTGTCAAGCAATGGATAATGATACAGTGCTCCAGGATCCAGAATACAGAGAAACTGGGGGGGGGGGGGTTATAGTCTGATAATATACACAAAAGCTAAATTTATACTGTCAAGAGAGCAAACTGGCAATAAATGGAATACTTCATGACAGGAAACATATGAATTGACTCAAACATAAGAATTGATCCCTCTTTTCTTTTGTCTAGCAGATATTTCCTCATGAATGTTTCAGAAAAGTTTACATTTATAATAAAATTATATTTGTCTCTATACTCAAAAGTAATAAAAATATTGTTAAAAAACAATCATGTGTTCTAGCAAACAAGATATTAGCACTTCAACAAATCTCCCTTCTTTGAATGGATGATGTCTACTCGAGTTTCAAAAATCAGGGATACTTTACCCTGGTTGTCTGTCCTGAGTTACCACTGTCAAGCCTGGATATGTATTCTCTGTATTATGAACTACCCATCAGTAAATCTGCCACCAGTAAAGGATAAATTCTTGAGAGCTTTCTCATTCTCTTCCTAGTGCACCTATTTCATCCTCCAAGCGTGAAGACTCCTGAAAAAGTGGGATCTTTCCTGTCTATTCCCAAGGCCCCAGCATACAGTTTGCACCTTGCCAGTGTCAGGGATTTGTTGAAAAAATGCATGACTCCAGATCTCAGTTAATGACATGGCCTGGCCAAGTAGAAAATTCAAAAAGCCTCATATATATATATATATATATATATATATATTTAAAGATTTTATTTACTTATTTATTTATTTGATAGAGAGAGAGATCACAAGTAGGCAGAGAGACAGGCAGAGATGGGGGAAAAGCAGGCTCCCTGCTGAGCAGAGAACCTGATGTGGGGCTCGATCCCAGGACCCTGAGATCATGACCTGAGCCAAAGGCAGAGGCTTAACCCACTGAGCCATCCAGGCTCCCAAAAAGGCTCATATTTTTTTAAAAATGAAATTCTAAATCAAGTTTAAAAATGCTCCTTCAAACTCAAACATTTGAAGTGGGGGGAAACTTTCCAAAAGGACCTCATATTTTCCACCTGAAAAATCCAAAACAATCAGTTTTATACTGACTAGAAATAATCAGAATGCCACAGGAAGATCAACTGAATACACAAATATAGAGATCATGTTTAGAGAAAATAATACTTTTTTTTTTTTTTTTTCCAGAGACACTGTCTTGGAACTAACACTACCATAACAAAATACCATGAACTAGGTGGCTTAAAAAACAGACAGTTATTTCTCACAGTTTCAGAGCCTGGAAAGTCCAAAATCAAGGTGCTGGCAGATTCATTTTCTAGTGAAGTTCCTCTCTTGGTTTTCAGCCTTCTTGCTGAGTCCTTATAGGATGGAGAGAGGAAGCTCTGGTCTCTTTACCTCTTCTTAAAGGACCCAACTCTCATCATGGTGATTAAGACATTCCTGACTGCATCAAAATCTAAGAACTTCCCAAAGACCCCACCTCCAATTATCATCACATTGGGGGTAGAATTTTAATATACAAATTTGGGGGAGACAAACATTCATTCCATAGCGGAGACATAAAATAAGATAGGAGAAAATTAAAAAAAAAAAAAAGCCTTTTTCTGGAATAGAAAGAATCAATTTTGGAAATGATTCCTTCTTACTAAGTTGGCTTCAAAGTGAACATATTTTGGATTTAAATAAAATCTGACGTTTGGTGGAACTTGAAAAGCTATTGATAGATATTGTCTTGACTAAATACTAAAGCATGTTGCAAAGCTATAGTGATTTTCCAGTAGCATAGGACAGTTGACTGTGAATCAATAGAAGAATTCAGTCCAGGAAAAACCTATATGGGTATTTAGCACATGACAGATATGCTATTGCATATCAATAAGTAATACAAGTGAACCAAAATGCACACATATACACATACAGGATTTTTATAATTCCTTGCATAAAAATAAATCTAGAGGCTTGCTACTCAAAGTGTGGTCCAAGAAGCTTCAGCATCAGCATCATCTGGGGTCTTGTTTAGTATAGGAAGCTCAGTGTCCCCTCAGACCATCTGAGTAAGAAACTGCATTTTAGCACATGCCTCAGCCAGTGGTGTTTGTAGTAACATTCAAGAAGCACTATCCAATGACAATTCATGTGGTGATGGTAATGGTCAATATCTTCACTGTTGAAAATGATAGT